GGGCTAAATAATTACCCATATTATTTTGGTGGGTTCCTTATTATAATTCTAGCATGATGGGCCCCAAAACCCTTTTCTAAATATTAAGGCCCCTATATTAAAGACTGGGGATTTGTGGGGGCTGAGGCTTTGGGGTCGTGTCGTTCTGGTTTGGAAGTTCTGTGGAGGTTAGGGCTTAAATTTAAGGTGGCAGGTGTGGGGTTCAAGGTTTTGAGGTGCTACTTGTGGCAAGGTTCGAAGCTTCGGAGTTTAAATTGTTTCGGTTTAGGGGTTAGGGTTTAGGGTTTAGGGGCATTGTCGTCATTGTCGTTTGGCTGTTGATGAACACTCCACTCTGTCCAATTGAGTAGCCTGTGATCCTTGTTGTGGGGATCCCGAAGATGTGCATCCAAGTTGCCGCGCAATTCCTCAGCCGCACATTCCTCTGGCCTCTTTCACTGCTTTAGACATCAGGTCCCCGACCTCCTGTGGCCGCTTGTGATGAAAGTCGTTTTTCAAGCTGCAGAGCCTGCCGGCTTGAAGGGCGGAACGCTCTACTGCATTCCGAAACCCAATGTGAATGCTCAGCACACCTGTGCCGGGTACCGCGGTATCTTGGTTCAGAGCGGGCTTGCTAAAGCTGTCGACCGTACTGCCAGACATCTCGCTGTCGGTCACTGGCTACCGAATGCCCTGGACAGCCAACTGGGCGGGCGCAAAGGATGCAGCGCGGATATGGGGCACTTCCTTTCGTGCGGCTTCCTCCATTTTGCCCAGATCCAAAAGCTCTCCACTGCTATCCTTTTCCTGCCTTAACAATTAGAATTGGGGTTTTGGGGGCCCATTATACTATAAATACCGTAAGGAGCCCCCAAAAAACTATATGTAATCATTAAGGCCCCTAAACCCTAAACCCTAAACCCGAAACCCTAAACCCTAAACCCTAAACCCTAAACCCTAAACCAATCATTAAGGCCCCCTATATTGGAGCCATAAACGAAGTCGCTGCAGGCTTCACGGTCACAGCTAGTCATCAGGAGTCCTTTCCTCGATTTGGGTAGCAGGGATGTAAGGGTTTAGGGTTTAGGGTTTAGGGTTTAGGGTTTAGGGTTTAGGGTTTAGGGTTTAGTAAGCCTGATATGTGAACCGGGATCAGCTTGGATGGATTCTACTACTCTTGACAAAGACCAAGGAATCATAACCCCGTAACCCTAAAGCCTACAGACCCTAAACCCGACACTATAAACCTCAAAGCCTTAACACTAAGGAATCTAAGGAATACTGGTAGTATCATGCAGACCCTCTTTTGGGCCTGCATGTTGAAATGACTGCGAGCCTCTGACAGAGGCTGATTCTTGGGTGCAGCGTTTAGGGGTTTAGGGTTAGGGTTTGGGGCTTAGGGGTTTAGGGTTAAGGGCATGGCGGCTTATCGGGTTTGAGGTTTAGGGTCTGGGGTTGCCTGAAGACTTATCAATACGATTGCTATAGGGCTCCTTACTATAAGAGTATTCTCATGTGACGTAAGGCCCTACTCTAAAATTGCTAATGCCCGGTTACCTTCCGAACCCGGATGCCAATCGATACGCCCATGCCCGACGCCTGAAAAATCCCTAACCCTAAAACCGCACCCAATTTGAAGAAGCATCCAGCAAGTCGGGAGCCACAAGGCACACAACCTCAAGCCAATTAAGCTAGTACAGGCATTGTCATACTTTGGATACTGCCCCCACTCAGCAACCGTTGAAGGTTGTTTATAATAGATAGACAGTGCTCTGAACAGAAGCCCTATTATAGACGGTTATTGTATGGGGGCAGTGCCCAATTCATACTTCTGCGAAGCCCTAAACCCTAAACCCTAAACCCTAGACCCTAGGCCCTAGACCCTAGACCCTAAACCCTAAACCCTAAACCCTAAACCCTAAGTCCTACTTCCCTAAACAGCTGAGGTGGGCCATCCTAGTTGCGACTGCTCCATCTGTCTGCAGCCACTCCTGGAGGTCCAGAAAGACGATCTGCCGCGAACCCAGGGAGTGGCGCAGACGGTTTAGGGTTTAGGGTTTTAGGGTTCAGGGTTTAGGGTTTGGGGGTTTAGGGTTTAGGGTTTAGGGTTTTAGGGTTTTGGGGTTTTGGGATTTTGGGATTTAGGGTTTTGGAGTTTAGGGTTTAGGGTTTAGGGGTTTTGGGGTTTAGGGTTTAGGGTTTAGGGTTTAGGGTTTTGGGATACCGGAGCGGCGCAGAAAACCCAAGAATTAGGAACCCCAAAAAAGAACATAAGCATAAGCATCTTAAAGGGATGTCCCTATCTCATTGGGCTTCAGTATAAGGAGGTTTATATGGATATCCCTACCCGGGGAGTGGCGCAGAAAACCCAAGATACCTGAGTTGGAGTATTGGGTTTAGGGTTTACGGTTTAGGGGTTTAGGGGTCTAGGGTTTAGGGTTTAGGGCCCTTATCGCCTTGTAGACTATCTCGTTGGGTAAGGGTGTGTAACTCTGTTATGCTACAAGCCTAGTGGCAGAGGTGTTCACCGGAACGCAATGAATCACAATCAAGAGCACTGCGGCCTAGCCTGATTCAAAGAAGTCTTGAATCCCAGGTAACTATACGATCTGCGGTTTGCAGGGTGCAGGATTGTTGCAGGGCAGCACAAATCCCTAAACTTACAAATTAGGAGGACGGAGTCTAGAGTTTGAATGCTCCCGGGCTTGTGCTTTGACTTTGAAAGTTAAGTATCCAACATAGGGGCTTAAACAATTACCAATACCAATTCAGGGTTCCTTGTTATAATTATGGTAAAATATACCCCAAAACCCCTCTTCTAATCAAGGCCCCAATATTCTAGAACCCCAGTATAGATCCCTTATGGAGCCCAAGGAACCCTCAAAACCCTATTCTAATTAGTAAGGCCCCTCGTTACCATTAAACTTCCCAGTTGTCTAGTATAGATCCCTTATGGAACCCTTTTAAAGAACTCTTGAAGGAAACCCCCAACACCCTATTCTAATCAGAAAAGGCCCCTGTTTTATACACCCTTAAACCCTAAGCCCTAAACTGTAAACCCTAAACTTTAAACCCTAAACCCTAAACTCTAAACCCTAAACTCTAAACCCTGAACCCTAAACCCTAAACCCTCTTCTGAATGATTATTAAGGCCCCTACTTGGAGGATCAAGGGACTTAGTAAGTAAGGTTATAAAGCCCTTAATTTAATTAGGGTTATAAGTATAGTTACCTTAGTTATAACCCTACTTACTAAGTCCCATGATCCTTTAAGTATACTATGAGTCTGCCCCTCTGCACTCCGGGGCTCATCTTTGCGGCTTCGGGCTCAGGCTTTTAAGTTAGAGTTTAGGGTTTAATGTTTGGGGTTTTGGGCTTGGGGTTTAGGGTTTAGGGTTTGGGTTTGGGGTTTACGTTTAGGGTTTATAGGGTTTAGGGCTTAGACTTATTAGAGGGTTTATTAGGGTTCAGGGTTTGGGGTTTAGGGTTTTCGGTTTAGGGTTTTGGGTTTGGGGTTTGGGGTTTAGGGTTTATAGGGTTTAGGGTCAAGCTAGGAGCTGGTTTAGGGTTACAGTTTGGTTCTTGGCTTTCGAGGTTAGAACTGTTTAGGTTTTGTGTTTTTTGGGTCACATCTGGGTTGTCGGTTAGGTTTTTTTTTAGGTTTTGTGTCTTTTGGGTCATATCTGGGTTGTCGGTTAGGTGTTTTAGGTTTTGTGTTTTGGGTCATATCTGGGTTGTCGGCTTTTGTCTACCATGGTAGTCTACTGGATGGTTCTCGTACACCCAAACACCTCAACCCCTAAACCCCTAAGTCCCTAAACCCTAGACCCTAAACCCTAAGCCCCAAACCCTAAACCCCCAAACCCCCAAAACCCCTAAACACCTAAACCCCTAAAGCCGAAACCCGAAACCCCTAAAGCCGAAACCCGAAGCCATGTCCCTTAAAGGGGGAACCCTTCATCGATCCCTTACGAGGGCCCTTAATGGAGCCCTGGTGTAGATGGGCTTCCGGGTTACTTGTCTTCACCCAGCGTTCATCGGGCTCAAGACCAGCTGACGAGGGAGCAGGGCGCAAAGAACCCCCCGTCTTGGCTGCAGAGTGCCACAGATATCGTTTACAAAGTAGTAGGAACAGTAATGATAGTAATAGCAACAACGAAAAGCACTGTTCGTAATCGTAAAATCAGGCTATATCAGTATCAACTAATCAGAATCGTAGGTGCTTAGCCTCGAAGCTCACGCCTGTACGAGCCTTCAACCCATCAAAATCAACTTGAAACCCCAAACCCCTAGCTAAGCCCTAAACCGACAACTCAAGCCTAAAGCTCCACCGCCCTTCACCAAAGAACGGACATCTGAACCATGTGGGTGTTAAGCCCTAACCCCCCCCCCCTCCCCCAGGTACCTACTATATAGGGCCCTAGGGGCTCTAGTACCTATTATATAGTAGGTACCTGGGGGGTTAGGGAAAGTTCACGGAAACTGTGGTTCAGTGTTTATTGGAAGGCGTAAAGTTGACAGGGCCTTACCTACAGTCTCCATTGTGGTTCCTTTTTTTGGTTTAACCAAATATAGAATATGGGTGTTATTATAAGGTATCCCCAAAAAGGAACTACAATGTGGTTTAACCAAATATAGAATATGGGTGTTATTATAAGGTATCCCCAAAAAGGAATTACAATGGAGACTATAGGTGTATCTTATATGGAGATATGGAGACTATAGGTAGAGCAGAACCAAGGAGTCAGGTCTTGGCATTCCTTTTTATCTGTACTGAAAGGATCATGGGACTTAGTAAGGAGGGTTATAGGGTTTAGGGTTTAGGGTTATAATTAGGGCTTAGGGTTAGGGTTTTGGGGTTTAAAGGATCATGGGACTTAGTAAGTAGGGTTATAATTAGGGTAGCTATACTTATAACCCCAATTTTTGGGCCTTATAACCTTATTTACTAAGTCCCATGATCCTCCAAGTAGCCAGGGTTTAAAGGTTTAGGGTTTACGGCTCGGTATTAATCTGCCTACCATGCGGTGCGTTCGGGGCATGTCTGGAGAAGAGCTGGCGAGTTTCGCCGCAGAGGACTTCCGTGATGTTCGCGAGTTGAAGATCCTGGGCTTTGGAGTACCATACTTTAATACTTTTTTGGGGGGACCTGTTCCTTAAAGGAGCACCCTAAACCCTAAACCCTAAACCTCCTTAAAGGAGCCATTATGAAATAAAAGTCTATACTTTTGTCTCCCTGGTTACTTCAAAGCCCAGGATCCGATTACGAAGTCTTCATGGCTCCTTGTTCATGGTTGGGGTAGTATTAAAAATTTAAATATATATTCCTTATTGGGTTTAAGTAACCCTAAACCCTAAACCCTAAACCCTAAACCCATGTTACCCAACTATGACAAAAAGGCTTCCCGCTGTGCCTGCAGCAGCTCCTATGCGACGGCGACCAGTTGAAGGACACTAGCATGTTTAGGGTTTAGGGTGTAGGGTTTAGGGTTTAGGGTAGTAGTCTCCGTTTTTACTTTTTCTGGGGTATTGGTTCCTAATATACTATATAAAAACCCAAAAAGTATGTATTTTTCCCAGCTGAATAATGAACAGCTTAGAGGATGATGACCCTGTCGCGTCTGAGCTAATGCTGGTGCTGCGGACAGCCGTCACAGCGGAGCAACAGCATAAGGCTGCAGAAGAGCTTGTGTGTTACGCTGCTGATGGGGGGTTTCTTGAAGTGGCGCGACTTCTGCTGCAAGCAGGCGCTGATAGGAACTACTGCAGGTACGCCACAGGCTGTGATAAAAAAATGCAGTGGGACAACAATGGCTGCACAGCACTTTCACGGGCCGCCAATCGCGGCCACGTTGAATTGGTTCGACTGCTGTTGGAGGCGGGGGCCGATCCGGACGTGCAGGATGAAGATGGCATGACGGCTCTCATGCACGCAGTGCCTTAGTTCTCCAATACCCAACCGTTAAACGTTTAGGGGTTTAGGGTTTTGGGTTTAGGGCCTTTAGGGTTTAGGGTTTAGGGTTCTTGGGCTCTTATAATTCAGTAGCAATCTGACAGTGTAAGGTTTTGCCAGATTTGCCTGGCTTATTGGTGAAATGAGGTGCATGAAGGCCACATCGAGATTGCACGTCTCCTTGTGGAAGCTGGCGCTGGCAAGGACTTGGTGGATGAAGAGGAGACGACAGCTTTAATGGCTGCAGCTGGTGCAGGGCACATTGAGATTGCCCGTCTATTGGTAGATGCCGGTGCGAACGTGAATTTAGACGATGCTTTCGGCACAGCCCTCATGTGGGCATCATCGAAAGGCCATGCTGAGATCGTGCATTTACTGGTTGATGCCGGCGCTGATATTAATTTCTTAGACTCCAGCGGCAATTCGGCCCTTTCGCTTGCACGCAAAAAAGGCCATGGTAGCATTGCGGCCTTTCTTTCTGAGCAAGGCTGCTGCGAGGGGCCCACCCCAGAAGCTAAGCGATGCCGTCAATGAGTAGCTGGTGCGGCATATCAGACTCAACCCTGAACCCTAAACCCTAAACCCCCTAAACCCTGAACCCTTACTAAACCCTAAACCCTGAACCCTGAACCCTTACTAAACCTATAAACCCAACCTATAAACCTTCAACCCTGAACCCTTACTAAACCCTAAACCCTGAACCCTTACTAAACCCGAAACC